ACAAACGAGTTATATCAATTCATTATCTATAACTATCAGAAATAACCAACAATACTCTACGCAAAGGATTATTAGAGAATAATAGAGGAACATCAGTTGCCAGTGCACCTGCTTTGTATTCCATGTAAATAATGACTGCAAGTCAGCTGATATGTTCAAAGTCATGCTAACCTGCAAAAAGAAGGCACGTTCTTTCAAATAATCAACAAAAGGTGCTTGCATTGTTTTATGATTAACATCTCATTAGTCCTCTCGCAAAGAATCTGAAAACTAATTATTTTGTTTACAGTTCATTATCAAGCACTTCGGTTGAAAAAAGTGCAGCAAAGAACTAAAGTATCCTCAAGAAAAAAGGATTACATTGTTTCGGGATAATAAGCTAGTCGATCGCTCTCGCACAGAGTCCACCGTTTCATGAATGCAATAAGAACACAAGAATCATATATCATCTCTTTAGAGATCTGATCATGAATAGAGAGTAATTACTCGGAGATAAAATTGCATACATATTCATCAAAAGCCTTGAAAATTGGCTGGTTCATGAAGATGATGGAGTCATTGAAGTCTAGCTTATGGGGGAATTTTGCTGGAAGTTTATCGACTCCACGAAAAAGTATTCATACTCAATTTCAAAGTACTAAGAGTTGAAACGGCCCAAGCCCACCGCTAGCCGATATTGTCCTCTTTGGGCTTTCCCTTTTTGGTTTTCCCTCAAGGTCTTAAAACGCGACTGTTAGGGAGAGGTTTCCACACCCTTATAAAGAATGTTTCGTTCTCCTTCTCAACCAATGTGAGATCTCACAATCTACTCCCCTTCGAGGACCTCGCATCCTCGCTGGCACTCGTTCCCTTCTCCAATCAATGTGGGACCCCCCAATCCACTCCCTTTTGGGGTCCAGCGTCCTTGCTAGCACACCGCCTCATGTTCACCTCCCTTTGGAGCTCAGCCTCCTCGCTGACACATCGCCTAATGTCTAGCTCTTGTACCATTTGTAATGACCCAAGCCCATCACTAGCAGATATTGTCCTCTTTGGACTTTTTCTTTCAGGTTTCTCCTCAAGATTTTAAAACGCGTCTGCTAGGGAGAGGTTTCCACACCCTTATAAAGAATGCTTCGTTTTCCTCCCCAACCGACGGGGGATCTCACGTTTTTTATACTTCTTTAAGAAGTACGGCCATAGTTATTTGGCCTAATGATACTGTGGCAAGGCTATGGAAGTTTTGGCTTGAGAGGAACTAGAGGGTCTTCAAAGAGAAGATGATCAGCCTTGACAAGCTTTGAGACTCCACTAAACCCTTTGCATCCATATCATATCATATCATTCACATATTTTCAGACATTACACTCCACATCATGCACGTCGTAAATCATAAAAGTCACATAGCATATCCCGAGCGTGCCTTTAACACATCGTATCATAGCTATATCAATTCATCAAACCTATCGTACCATAACCTATATCATATCATTCTCATATTATATTACAATGTATAAATACATACATCGTTCCCATATTCTAACCATTTCGTAAACATTTCATAGTCATATCAATCCTAAGAGGATGGAAGCTCATAAAAGTTTCCCCAACCATGATTTTCATACACCCAAGGGAAAAATCTTCCGTTTTTGGCTCGCTGTGGGCGAGAGAGGATTCGAACAAGGAAATACCACATCATTGCTCTTTCTAAGCTACATGCCCTACCCTGTCTCCAATAACCAAATTGGTTCTTCTACATAATTTTTAAAGACAACTGTCCCAGTTCATCACATCAAATAGCAAATCATGTAGTACACAAGATAAAGAAAAGGGTCATAAAACTCAACACGTTAGGAAACTGGAATGCCCTACTTAATTAACCTAAAAATCCCTCTTCACACACAAAATTTCACAAACTCAAGAGACAAGAAACAGGCGAAATCGATCATACCTCATCGTTTCCATTGGGTTGGCTTTGAAACCAGTTGATGCTCAAAACCTAAGACCCAAAAAACAAGAAAACCAAATCAAATCACCAAATGGGTCTCGCAATCGAACCAAAAATCCAAGAGAATTCAAGCACAGATCTAAAGGGGAAAACCCAGAAAGAAGGGGAACAAGAAGAGAGACCTGAACTTGTGCTGTGGGTGAAGGTGAATTGAGGGTATCGGAGAAGGAAGCTATAGCACAAATGACGGCGAGTATTGTAGCCGCAAAGGTCAGCAAAGCGTTGGCTCTGTACCCAAATGAATGCATTTTGAATTGGTTTCTTTGATTCTCCTTCACCCAATTACTCAGCCGTCTCGAAATTGTATGAACTTGCCGTGGGAGGGAAAAGAAAAGAGAAGAAACAATGCGAGACTTGGAAAGGAAATGGAGTCTCGCTCGAACAGGGCAGAGAGAAAGAGAGGGGTCGCATGATCTGGCAATTTTGAGATCTTTGATTGGATTGGAGGAAATACGTTGAATCAATGGTGGTACCCACTCCAACGAGGAAAATTTTTCATTTTTCTATATGGGTGTGGCTAACATATTTTTTTTTGGACCAACCCAAAATTTCTTCGATCAAATTTGCTACTTGAATGAATCTATTAGGTTTATAACCTAACGTAACTCGACTCTCTGTCACATTAATAACTATAATTTTATAAAACCCAAATATCAAAAAGTTAAATTGTAACATTCGGTTTGATATAGCTTCACACCAAAAAATAAGCGAACTACGTCTAAGTTAAACTTGGAGATGAAAGTAAAATTTAGTATTGAGGTAATATGAGCGTAACTCAATGATAATTGACATGTACTCAATCCGTCAAAAGTTCAAACTCTTGACCTCCTGTTTATAAACCCACGTTCGGTATTATCAATGTTTTCAATTTACAATATATATTTTTTAGTACAACAAACGTGGAGTATGAAAATTGGAACATTCGATCTCGAGAGAACATCTCCTATGATACAGTGAAGATTATCCCCACAGACTAATACGTCCTTTCAACATACTTTGTTCTCACTCACATTGTGAGATCTCACATGGGTAAGAGAGAGGAACGAAACATTCCTTATAACAGTGTGGAAACCTCTCCGTAGCATATGCATTTTAAAACCATGAGGCTGACAACAATATGTAATAGATCAAAACGGACAATATTTGCTAGTACTGGGCTTGGGCATCAAATGCGTTTTAAAACTATGAGGTTGAGGCTGACGGCAATACATAACCGGCGCTCATTCGGATGTGGATTCGGTTAATTATGTATCTTTCATTTACTCGGGTGTGACAACTAATTTAGATATAAAACATATATCATTATCTCTGTGGTTAAATTATAATATTATTTTTTTAGAATTTATTCTCATGGTTTTATTTAATTTCTAAACACTTATCAACAAACTCCTTTACATAATGCACACTTTATTTAACTTTTCCAAAGTTTTTATAAATAATAATATCTCTCCATTTATATAATTATTTTTTTAAAGATTATTCTCTATAGGATTATATATTTAAATTTTCTTATATTTTTTTATCAAATAAATCTTTAATCCTCTCGAATTCTAAATTCAAAATTCTGATTCGTTTTTAGGTTACAAAAAATAATAATTGATGCATTTATCCAATAATATATATATAAATATTTGTGCATTATACTCCAAAAACAAGATTCATTTTATATAATTATATTTTAATATAATATAATATTTATTTATTTTTTCATATTTAAGGAGTAACTTTCAATTTTCTATAATTCAGATAAATATTCCAATTTTAACATAAACTTATTAATTTTAACCGTTGGTAAATTCTCGCTTGAAAATATCATAATTTTTTTTTACTTTCAGTATAAAATATATATTTAAATATCAATTGGAGATGTTTTTTTTTACATTAGAAAAATTAAATCAAATGTAGAAGTTATAACACTTATATTCAGAGTTCAAAGTCACGAAATTAAAAATTTTAGATTGAATTAAAGTTGAATAAAAATTAATTTTTTTCGTCAATTTGACATGGCTAGAAAATTAAAAATTTTGGAATAATATTTTTATTATATTAAAATTATCAATAAAAAAAAATGATGATTCATAAAGAGGAAATTTCATAGAAGAAGAGATTTTGAGAATATATTCTTATAAGAAAACTGTCAAAAGGTGACAGCCGGATTTTCTTTGTATTCTCCATTATTCAAATAATACAAAAAAAAAAAAAAAAAAATTATAACTTTAATTTGTGGAAAAATAAAATTTATGACTTTGTTACTGTCGCTTAAATGTAGCGTGTCTTCTAGTGTAGATATTAATTAATTAATTAATGCTCTAAACCCTAAAATAAAAGGAACGAGATTTAATATTTGAGTTTTGGAAAGTAGTTTCAATATTTAATTTTTTTTATGAAAATTCAACTAAATTGGTATTGAATAGATTGCACGTCCAATCAACTGATCGAAATATTACGTTGAATTAGGTCATTTTGGGTTTGGGGAGGGTGTGGAGAATTTCTTACAGGCTAAACGAGAATAGAAGGATACAACAGGGTCTGGGTTTGTCCCTTGTTTCGTAAAACTGGGTTGGTGACCTTTCCAATGTTGCATTGGAACTGAGAGGGACACAACATGCGATGATGAGGAGTCAATCATGACTAGCTATTGAATCTGCAAAAACACTCGAAACTGATTTGATTTCAGTATGTCTTTGTGAACATAGTTCCGTGTTCTACCGATAATACTATTGCCAAACACCGTATTAAAGTGACAACCTACTTCATTAATTATCCAATAATTAATTAACATTTTTGAAAATAATTTAAATAATTTCCTAATCCCAATTAACATTTTCATATCTACGCAATAAAAAATTAAAATTTTATTAATTTTAATTAAAAAAATAATTATTACATTATTTATGATACACATTTGACACAACTAAAACTATATGCTAACCATAGAAAGAATACTAATAAACAAGAAATTTAATTTTATACACATTTTTGGTGTATATGAATTTATATGAAGGAGAATTCATAAGTATTTTTTTTTTTTTTGGTATATATGAATTGTGGAAAAAAAATAAACCATTTCAGACCGGAAGCCTACTCGACTCGGCCGTGGAACTTCCTTGTCCAAGTTCTCGACCCAAACCCGGTTCACCATGGATACTCCCTCCCCGGGGAGTCTTCATCGATGACATACGAGTAAAAAACGGCGGTGTAATTGACAACACCCACCGGTCTGACTTTGATGTCCGGTCCAACCGTTCAAGTCTTCGGTAATACTTCCCTCTACTACTCCCTTCGCCTGAACCGAACCGGTATCCTCTCATCGAGCTGCTCTGCCTTGCCAGAATTACCATACTCGTCGCCCGGTTCAGTTTCCGGTTCACTACTTGCTTCCTTATTTCAAGTGGCAACCGGAGAGTAAACCGCTCGGTGTCCTCCCCGGGCTGAACCAAGGAGTGGCCAGTTGAGTGAGACCGGGGGAATAACCACCGCAATCTATTGGAGCGGGATCCACGTGTACGGTTACGATTCAACGACTTGTTAGCCGCCGTCGTCGTATTCAACTCCGATTCAGCTGGTATCTGAATCGGCGGTGGAGCCGCAGTTGGATTAGTCTCAGAAACGACGTCGTTGTTCTGCGCTTCAATATCTCCTCTGTTCTCATCCGAGTCGACTACGGCGGCGGAATCTTCAACTCGGTGGACGGACTCAGTGAGTTGAGGCGATAAATTAGCGCGACAAACAGGGCAAGTAGTATGAGAAGCCAACCAAGCATCAATACACTCAGGATGAAACACATGGTCACATTTAGGGATTAAACGCAGCGTTTCATCATCTTCGAACTCATTCAAGCAAACGGCGCATTCTAGGGTACTCTTACCGATTTTATGCTGTTTCACATCGGAGTAAATTAGCGTCGGGAATGTTTCAATCACGGCCGGATCGAGACCACGAGCGGCGCGACGGGACCGAGCAGCGGCGGTGACAGGGCGGACGGAGTTGGATTGGGAATCGTTGCAGTGACGTAAGTAGACGGAGAAGAAAGCGACGAAGAAGAGAGCGGCGATGAGGATTACGATGATGACCGCCATGGAACCGCTGAGGCGATACTGGTAGGGGTCGGATCTCGGGTCGGGGGAGAATTGGGACTGGGCGGAGACGGAGACGGAGACGGAGAGGAGGAAGAAGAGGGCGGCGTGGACGGCGGTGAAAGAGACCATGGTTTCGTTTGATCGGAAATTGGAGGGAGGGTGAAGAGGAGGAGCGGGTTATTATGGGAGAAAGTGGAGGTTGGTGGAGGAGGAAGCCACGGCGGAGGAAAGTCAAGGGAAGGTAGAAGGTTTAAAAACAGAGAGAGGAATCAGTGTGGGGGAGGAAGTAGGAAGACGCTGGAAACGGTGTCGTGTTAAACAAGAAAAAGTCGAGGGTGATTTGGACTTCGATTGTGGGCCCCACGTATGAGGGAGAAAAATACCTAATTTTTTTTATCTGTATTTTTCTTTTCAATTCTATTTTATATCTCTATTATTTATTGCAAATTTTCTAATTTTCCTCCATAAATTTATTAATTTAGATCATTTATTTTTTAAAATTAGAATCAATCCACTTAAATAAAATTATTTTTTTTAAAACCCACTCAAATTTTTATTACTCACTAATTTACATTAATTTGTTAATTTTAAAAAGTCTAAAATTTAAGATTTTGGTCCTTATAATTTATTCATTTTTGAGAATATAAATTATTATTTCTCCATGTTATTAATATGCAGCAAAATTTTAAGATTTTAATTTAATTTATAAAATTATAATAATTTAGTTCAAGAAACAATTCAGTCTTTTCCATGAAAAATATTATTATACAAATTTTTATAAAGCATAAAAAAAATTTATTAAATAATTAAAATTAACCTTAAATTATGATTAGATTTTTCATCACATTAATAAAATATATTTTTTAATCATTAAATTAATTTTCTTTTTCACGATCAAAAATTAAAAAAATTTAAATTTACGATCTCGATCAGTTGAATTATATTTAAATGAGAATATTCAAATGTATTAAATATATATTAAAATAATAATAATAATAAGAGAATGAATGTGATACGACAAGATGGGGAGTGGGTGGCGGTGGTGAAGAGTGACAACTTGGAATGGTGGCCAATTGTCGTGGATGGCGTTACATGTGGTGGAATTCCTATACACCAATTTCACTTTTTATTTATTTATTTGAGATCTTATATCGGTTAAAGAGGAGAATGAAATATTCCTTATAAATTTATGAAACCTCTTTAGAGTAAACACGTTTTAAAATTGCGAGGCTAACAACGATACGTAACGGGTCAAATCAGACTATATATGGTGGGCTTGAACTATTACAAATGATATCAAAGTTAGACACGGATCAATATGCTAGTGAAGACGCTGATTCCTGAAGAAAAAATATTTCTTATAAAAATATTTAGGCAGAGAGCGATATCTAATGAGCCACTAGGAAAAGGATTGATTTTTTTTTTTTCTTTCAAAAATAACTTTTTTATGCTTTTTTTTTAAATGCATTCCTCTTTTTAGTTAGGTCACCTACTCAATAATTATGGAGAATACCTAATGTACGAGTTTTAGATAATTTTACCTATCGAACATTCTTGAATTTGTTCTACGAGAGTAAGTTTTGTTTTAAATTAAAGGTACTCATTAGAAACCTAACCGGGTCAATCTTCCTTAGTTTATTGACTTTTCAAAGAAAATGTGTCACGTTGAACTAATTTATGTTAAAGTCTAGGTTGAATCCATTGTTTTGCAGTATTTTTGTCTCGAATTAACATAATTATGAAAGTGTTTTTTGACTGATATCACACAAGTGTCACCCTAACTCTATTGATGTATACGCTAGCTCCAAAGAGCACAATCCAATAGGAACGTTCATATGATCCAAGAATCCGACCAACCCGAATTACCCAACCCAAACCATAAAAGCTGGATTGGGTTAGGTTGAATTTTTGAAAAATCGAAAAATTTGGGTCGATTCGCAAGTTGGAATTTTTTTTGTCGGGTCAGCCTGATCAACTCGAAAATAGAGTTACAACTCAGCCCTAATTGTAAAATAATTACGAAAATTAAGAATATTTAGTTTTTGCAATTAATGTGAGTGATGTGGTGTGACTTCTGAATGTCTAATATTTGAGCCGTATGAAATTTTAGTTATTAATGCAATCTGCATTAGATAAGTGACATTTTTTTTTTAAATATAGGGTTAGGATGGGAACTCTATTCAGATTGCTCGAGTCACCGGCCAAACTAACCTAAAATTTAAGTTGATCCAAAAGATTTTTTCAACCCAACCGAACTGAAGTGAGATCAAGAAACCTCTCAAGACAAGCACGTGAGGTAAATTTGAGTAATTTAATACAGTAAAAGGTTCGAGGAAGCCACGCCAGACATTATTGAGTTGGGACGATCATGATATTTAGGCATTCATTACGGGTTCGATGAAATATAAGGACTTGAGAAAGTCAACATGATTAGATCATTGGTGATGAAATGGAGGTTGCATGTGAGAAAGAAAGCACAGGATAAGCTTCTAGAAGAATAGAAGAAAAATAAATATAAATTCCATTTAAATAATAATAATAATAAAGTAAATTCAAAAAAATTGCTCAGCTAATGGCGGAATGTACAAGTAGAGTAGAGCCAATTCTGCCGCTTATTTTTATTTATTTAATTCACTAATTTTTTTAATTTCTCTTTGACTTTTTTGCCCCCCTTTTGCCTGGTCCCACCTCCCCTATGAACCATTAAATATATATATTTTAAATTTTAATTCCACGCTTCCCTTGCCACACACTCTAATTAAAATATTCCATATAAAATTGCAAATTTTAATTTTTAAAAAGTTAATTTTTTATATGCTCTTTTCCCGTAAAATAAAAAATTGAGAGATTTATTAGATATAAAATTAAAAATTTTATTCAATATACTTCATCGATAAGAAATTATACGAGAGAGCTGAAATAATATTCCGATTTAAAAAAATATATTTACTTGAGTTTATGTAATAATTATTTTTTAAAAACAGATTAAAATATAATTTTGGGCCTAATTTTTTATTTTTTTTTAAATAAAGGTAATTTTTTAGCTCATATTTATAATATTAAAAATACTAAAAAAAAACATTATTTTTATGAACATCTAAGTGATGAATAATGTGTCCGTAATATTATAAAAATCTTAAGAATTAAATAAATTAGAGTTTGACTAAAGACATTAAAATAAGGGTCTGTTTGGTTGTAAGCATTAGGCGCCCAAAGTTGGGAGAGTGTTTTGAATTATGCCGTTGACCAAGCAACCAAAGTTTGACCAAACCAAATAAAATAATTTATTATTATTATTTAAAATATTATATTTATAGGTTCTTTCCAAGAAGTGGATTTAAAATTATTTAAAAGAAAATAAAGAGAAAAAGAATAAAAATTAAATTATTGGATTGATATGATTATATTCCATTCAAAGATTTGAAGATAAAGACAAATTCTAAGAAAAATGGAAAAATTAAAAATTCCTTTTAAATTAGATATGGTTATTTTATACCCAAAAATGGTCCTCAAATGATTTGATTATTCTTTGACAAACGACTTTTGAACTCGCTTGGAATTTTCCTTTTATTTTTCATTTAGAAGTTCAAAACTAAAACCGACCTCGAGGAGTAACTGTAGGGTTAAGTTTGGAATGCTCGAGAAATTTTTGTTAGGTCTGGTGATCAATTCTCGATGTTTCTTGAAGCTGGTTATTGGAGTACGTCAAGTCCCTTCCTAAAGTAATACGACGAGCAATTTTTTGTGTGGCTAAATTACAAAAGTACTCCTGAATTTTTCAATTTATTTGAAAAGCTGCCATTGGAGTAGAAATCTGTTAAAATAATGGTAAAAGATTGGAATTTGGAATAGTGTTGTGAGGTCCCACGTTGATTGGAGATGGGAACGAAGTATTCCTTATAAGAGTGCGGAAACTTCTCCTTAACAGACATGTTTTAAAACTGTGAGGATGACAACGATACGTAACGGGTCAAAGTGGACAATATCTGCTAGCGGTGGGCTTGAGCTATTACACATAGTATCAGAGCAGGTTCTAAGATGTGTGCCAGCGAGGACGCTAGACTCCCAAGAGAGGTAGATTTTGAGGTTCCACATCGATTAGAGAGAGGAATGAAACATTTCGAGTGAAACCCTCTCTCTAGTTGACATGTTTTAAAGTCATGAAGTTGACGACGATACGTAACGAGCTAAAGTGAACAATATCTACTAATGATGGTTTTGAGTACTTACTGAGTGATATTGACATAATTTTGATGTCATGAATAATTAAAAAAAATTTATTAAAGAAAAAGTCCATTTAAAGATTTGTGGTAATAATAAAGTCCCTATTAAATTTGGAAAATGGATTGGATGGTGGTGACCTACCCAATGAGCATTGACTTTGACTTTTTCAACATTTATTGGAGAATTACCATGCTTTGACTTTCATGAGTATAACATGCTTTGACTTTTGTCAGTTTTTTATTTCAACGTTAATATTTAATAATTTTATTTTTGGTGTCGAAACTGAAGATCTATGAACGAGTCCATGTTTGACTAGTTACGAAGAGAAATGATCGTGTTTCTTTTTATTTTTTATTTAGTACAAGTATTTCTCATTTACAATGAAAAATTTATGAACATTCCTCGTTCTTTGTTGTTAGTCTCGTTTTACAATGACTTGACTCGAAAATGAACTAATATTTCCATTGTCCATCGAGAGAAAACCTAAGAGAAGACCGTGTTACCTGTCTTGACTACCACCGAATATTAATTATCGTGAAAAGTTCAACTAAGCTCCGTTGATAATATTAGTGAGTTAGCAAATAATTTACAATCTGCTTTGATCAAAGCTGGACCAACCAAAACCGTTAGGAATATTTGTGGCTTGTAATGTCCTATGTCTAAGATTCAAACCACGATCGACACATGGTTATCTCAACATTTTCCTGCCTCCCTTGCGACATGATTACGTTACCTACTTGTCTAGAAGAGCCTTTGGGTTCTTTCAACATATTTTATCTTTATTCACGTACTTTCGAGAAAAATTTTGACGAGGTCAACTAACATAAAATTGCTTCGAGCTAACCACACTCAAATCCTTGTCTGAATCTTAGACATGAAGCGTTACATGAATCATCATGTCAGGCCACTCGACCCTGTCGTGGGCTTTTCTTAAATCATGTTTGACGGCTGCTATTCCATTCTTACCCACTTTCCTGCTGTGAATATATCATGGAGACATTCATGTCCACGGGTAAAAGCTTTTGGCTCATA